AAAAAAAAAAAAAAAAAAAAAAGATAAGAAGCAGTGAAAACGGAAGAGCAACGAAAGAGCCACCAGTGTGTTAGTGGGAAGAAGCTAGCAGACGGATTTAACTTTTGAGGGGTGGTAAGGGGGAGAAGGAGAGAAGCCCTCCCAGGCAGCCGTCGAAGGGGCAGAAGGAGAGAAGCCCGCCCAGGCAGCCGTCGAAGGGGGAGAAGGAGAGAAGCCCGCCCAGGCAGCCGTCGAAGGGGGAGAAGGAGAGAAGCCCGCCCAGGCAGCCGTCGAACTACTTTTGAGTGTCGGGGGAGGGGGAAAAAAGAAGTGATTGGCGGGGGACCGGCGGCAGGGGGCCCGGCGGCGGGGGCGCAGGAGAGCCCTTAACGGAGTGGTGGGGTAGGCTCCCCCGCACAGCAAACTTTTGCAGGCAATTTCAAGACAGTCAAACTGGATTTGCTGTGTAATTTGAGTCTTCGCAGCGGTGTTGGAGGCGGCGGCACACCTTGGAGTCGTCAGCTCTCTATAGAGAGCGTGGCGCCGCAAGCAACGGAAATGAGTGAACGGTGGAAATTGAGGAGTAGATTGAGGTTCGAGCCTCTCTTGGAAGACAAGATAGTCTGTCCTCGGCCAAGACGATATGCTATCAACACTTTTGTGATGATGGAGACGGTTAAAGCCCGTCGTCGAAGAAGGTGAGAATCTCTCGAATCTCTCCCTGATTAGTAATCATAACGTATAGTATAGAATTAATAAATTAGAGGTGAAAATTACGTCTTGATTATTATAATGTGAAGTACAATTATTATTATATAATATAAAATAGAGGTGAAAATTACGTCGTGATTATTATAATGTGAAGTACAATTATTGTATAATATAAAATAGAGGTGAAAATGACGTCGTGATTATTATAATGTAAAGTACAATAATTATATAATATATATTTTTTTGTCTTAAACATTGTATCGTGGCCAAATATTTTTGGAATTCTGTGCGAAATGTATCTTGGTAAGGTTTTTTTTTTTTTTTTTTTTTTTTTTTGATCTTGGTAAGTTGATGAGAGAGATTTTGCTTCTGTTATTGTGTTGCAAGTAAAGTGAGGTATAATGCTAGTACCAGGTAGTAATAACGAAGGAATGAAATACAGACAGCAATTTAAATCTATTTAAAAAAAAAATTAATGATTTGTTGTATTGTAGCAAATGCTAGATTTGTATAATTATTATTATTACAATAATAATAAGTATGTGATCGATTAGTATTTTTATTACGTAATAATAATAATAATAATTATTTAATCGAGTTGTATTTTGTATGTATGGATGTAGTTATGTACATGCGGTAGCTTGGTGTGCTATCAGCTATGCATTGTCAATATAGGTGTATTATATATTGTCACACTGTGAATCAGAGCGCGAAGGCGAAGCATTATTATTGAGCTGAAATTAAATATAAAAGAAATTTGCGTCATGTAATATGGAAATTCAATGTATAGTATTATCATCGTTTTATACTAATTAATTCTCATTTTCTATATTGCCTTTTTCGTTACGTTTTTTTTTTTCCCCCCCTTCAATTTGGACCATTTCTCGATTTATACTTGCATCCTTGCGCAGGGCCATGCTAATCTTCGTTCTCTTTATCGTTCCAATTGGAACAGTTGCTCCTGAAGGATTCCCGAAGGCATTTTTCGTTGCCGTTTTGCCCGTTGGTGCTGGGTTCTTTCACTGCCAGTCTGCCGCAAGACGTTACGATCTTCGCTCTGTATAGTTGGGCACGCGGCGTAATATACAGAAGGACCTCTTTTTCTTTCCGGGTTTTTTTTTTTTTTTTTTTTAGCCTACTTGTTGACGCCTTGTTTCCTTCCACTTTTGAGGATGACGTGTTGTTGTTGATTAACTGATTTCTTCTGATTTGATGTATTCAGGTCGAGCAGGTTTTTTTTTTTTTTTTTTTTTTTTGAGCTTACTTATTGACGCCTTGTTTCATTCCACCTTCGAGGATGTCGCTCAAGTTGGGCACGCGGCGTAACAAACAGGACCTCTTTTTCTTTCCTTTTTTGTTTTTGCAGCCTACTTATTGTTGACGCCTTGTTTTTTTTCCACCTTGAGGATGACATGTTGTTGTTGACTAACTGATTTCTTCTGATTTGATTTATTTAGGGCATTTGATTTATTCAGGGCGAGTAGGAGGAATGCCCATCTCATCGAGCTTGGCGATCGGTCGATTACCCTTTTTTTAAGTAATTGTGACGGCTTGGTCATCACCTCCCCTCGTCGTCTTCTTGTCTCCTCCCTGTCGACAGTTCTCCCCCCTGCTCCTCTCCGCCTCTTTTTCTTTTTCTCTTCTCTCGCCGTTCTTTCGTCTCCCCCTTTTTTTCTTCTCTTCCCTTGCCGTTCTTTCCTTCTGAAAGCTTGATCGGCGTATCGAGTCATTCACAGGACAGTACCCCCGAGAGTGATGGCACGCATCCGTGCTCTCCAGATTTTCGATCCCCGTCGTCCTCTTTCCCTCTTGTCGTCTCTCCCCTGCTCTTCCTCTCGCCCTCTTTTCTATGGCCTCTGTTTATCACTATTCTCTTCCCTTGCCGTTCTTTCCTTCTGATAGCGTGATCGGCGTATGGAGTCGTTCACAGGACAGTACCGCCGAGAGTAATGGCACGCATCCGTGCTCTCTCTAGATTTTTGACACGCCGCGTCCGCTCGATTGCCAAATCGCCGATCGACGGAGACTTAGTGGCCATCTCCGGTCGAGTCGTCTTTCATATCTCGCGGCGGCGCGCTGGTGTCTCCGCGGAAGACCGCGAGCCTTGGATTTCTCGCGGCGGCGCGCTGCTGTCCGCGCAGAAGACCGCGAACCGTGGATTTCGCGCAGCGGCGCGCGGCTGTCCGCGCGCAGCGATCAGGCGGGACGGGATGGGATCCCTGCTGACGTCAACATAACCGTGGCCTGTCTATTGCTCTCCCACGCGCATAACACGGAGATCGAAACGAAAACATTCAACCAATCAGCGAATCGGTCAATCCCCAAATCCATCCATCTCTATCCATACATGCATTCATCTATCCATCATCTATCCATCCATCCATCCATCCATCCATCAATCGAACGAACGAACAAAGCAATCTATCCAGCAATTCATCGAGCGCTCTTGATTGATCGATGATTGATTGATTGATTGATTGATTGATTGATTGATTGGTTGATGAATGACATGTGTTGCTTATCGGAGCACGCACAGAAAAGAGAATGAGGGGAACAACCTGTGGAGGTACGGAAAGCGGACGTCCAGTCCATCGAATCGGTTGATTACAATTGAACGGCTAGCCGATCTTGTGACGGATGACAATATTTTTTCCTTTTCTCTCTCGCTGTCCTCATCGTCCCGATCAGCGATTTCGTTCTCTTCCGCCTGCCTCCTCATCTTCCTCTTCCTCCTACTTCACCTTCATCTTCTGATTGCGCTCTTCCGTCTGTCTCCTCATCTTCCTCTTCCTCCTTCACCTTCATCTTCTGATTGCGCTCTTCCGTCTGCCTCCTTATCTTCCTCTTTCGTTGCCACGTTTTTGTCCGGAGACAAAAAACGTTAAGTACCTAACGATACCGAAACCTCTGCCCTTGAAGATGGAAGAGCGCAATCAGAAGATGAAGGAAAGCGGAAGCCCTGGGCAATCGCGTGAAAAGAGACGTTGGGGAGGGGTGTTGCTGAGAGGAGGGAGGGGTGGTGCTGAGAGGAGGTTTACATGAAAGCTACGATGGAAGAGGAGGAGAGGAGAGGAGAGGAGACGTGGAGGGAAGGGACGAAGGATGGGGAGGAGAGAGAGTACGGAAGTGTGTACGGTCATGCGAAAAGTTAAAGGGAAAGGAGACCAACTCGAGTTGATTGATCCGTCGATCGCTCGATTGATCGCTCGATTGATTGATTGATTGATTGATTGATGGGTGAAAGGGCCAATTGACTAGGGCCTGATGGGCTTCATTTGTGCTCAGGATAAGAGATCGTGCTCCTGGCAGGCTGGACGTCCAGGTACGTTTTGTCAGGCAAATTGGGTGGAGTTATTTCAACTCTTTCGAGTTTTCGGGGCCCTCTTCTCTCAGCTTTTGGGAAAAGGACCCTGCCTCATGGGAGAACAACAGGAGCCCACGGAAAAGTACCGTTGTTGTCTCATGGGAGACAAGAGTGGAAGCCGGCGGCGGCGGCAGGAAGCTGCTGACGAGCGGCGGCAGGAAGCGGCACAGTTGAGGAAGAAGCGGGAGGAGGGGAGGGGAGTGTAATAGAAGAGGAGGGGGGGAGGGGGGAAGGGAGGGAAGAGGAGAGGAGAGGAGGATCTTTGCCCTGTGGTATATGTCTGTATTCATTCCATTGAAGATGTCAAGGGCAGAGGTTTCGGTATCGTTAGGTACTCTTGCTATTACATGGCTGTAGTTGGTAAGATTGCCTTTTTTTTTTTTTTTTGCTTCCGAGAGTATATTATATTATAATTCTCAAATAACAATCGGAGACACCTGCTGGAGTCCGACGAAAATGAAAACAGAAAAAAGGTAAAGAGAAAAAGAAATCCTACGTAACGAAACAAACATGGGAAATGTGTAGTTAAGGCTGGGTTAGGGTAGGTTAGGGTACGGCGGTTWGGGTAGGGTAGGGCAGGGTAGGGTAGTTGAAGTCTCTGATTAGATCGACATTATAAATCAAATCTGGGGGTATGTATGTTGGGAAGGAATCCATCCTACCGCCGTTTCCCCTACGGCTACCTTGTTGCGATTTCACCTCAGTCGTTGATTCTGTGATCAACGAAGCGGAAAAAAAATACATGCTGCGCACTTTACGTTCGAAATGTATCTGGACTGCCTGCATGTATAGGGTCTCGCTCCACCAGACGACGTTCGAAATGTATCTGGACTGCCTGCATGTATAGGGTCTCGCTCCACCAGACCGCGTTCGAAATCTATTTGGACTGCCTGCATGCTAATTAGGAGGGACCGAACGTTTCTGAATGTATGGGGTAATGTGTGAAAACCACATTGTGAGATCATTTCTTTCATGGTAGTGTCGAGGGTTTTGAATTTCACTTCTCCTTTTTTTCTTTCTTTCTCTTTTTGTTTTCCAATTCTCTTCTTTAAAAGTAACTTTTCGCTCTCTTTCCMCCCCCCCCCCCCAAAAAAAAAATAAATAAATAAAAAAAATCGGTGAGCTCCGGGCCACTGTACTCGTATTAATTACTAAGTATTACCTACTTAGGTCTTTTTCTCCCGACGCCATGGCCAACGCGTCGCTGCGACGCAATCTGCGGGCTCCTCCATCCCGTTGCTTCGCACCTAAAAAAAAAAAAAAAAAAAGAAACGCGTCGCTGCGACGCAATCTGCGGGCTCCTCTATCCCGTTGCTTTGCACCTAAAAAAAAAAAAAAAGGAAGAAATCCTTCTCTT